TACTACTACTACTACTACTACTGCTACTACTACTACTACGACTACTACTTCTACTAGTACTACTACTACTACTACTACTACTACTACTACTACTACTACTATTGCTCTTACTACAATTACTACTATGACTACTACGACTACTACTACTACTACTATTACTACTACGACTACTCCTACTACGACTACTACTACCCCTACTACTACTAGTACTACTACTACTAGGACTACGACAACTACTACTACGACTACTACTACCACTACTAATCCGACGACTATCCTTTCTTCTACGACTACTACGACTACGGCTACGACTGCTACTACTACGACTACTACTACTCCTACTACTACTGCTACTCCAACTACTACTGCCACGACTGCGGCTATTACTACTACTACTACTACCGCTACTACTACGACTACTACTACTACTACTACTACTACTCCTACTACTACTACGACTACTACTACCAGTACTAGTACGAGTACTAATAATAGTAGTAGGAGTACTACTACTACTACTGCTGCTGCTACTACTACTACTACTACCACGACTACGACTACGACTGCTACTACTACTACTACTACTACTACTACCCCTAGTACTTCTACGACTACTACTACGACTACTACTACTACTACTACTACTACTACTACGACTACAGCCGCTACTACTACTACTATTGCTATTACTACGGCTACGACTACTAGTGTTACTACTGCTACTGCTACTACGACTACGGCTGCGACGGCTACTACTACTACTACTACTACTAGTACTACTACTACTACTACTACTGATACGATCACTATTACTACTACTGCTACTACTACTACTACTACTACTGATGCTACTACTACGACTATTACTGCTACCACTACGACTACCATTACTACTACTACTACTACTACGACTACTACTACTACTACTACTGCTACTACTACTACTGCTACTACTATTACTACTACTACTACCACCACCACTACTACTACTACTACTACTACTACTGCTACTGCTACTGCAACTACTACTACCACAACTACTACTACGACTACTACTACTACTGCTACCACTACTACGGCTACTACTACTTCTACGGCCACAACTTCAACTACTACTTCTGCGACTACGGCTACCGTTACTACTACTAGTACTACCCCTACGACTCCTAATATTACTACTACTACGATTATTGCTTCCACTACTACTACTACGACTGCTACTACTACTACTACTGCTACTACTACTACTACTACTACTACTACTACTACTACTATTCCTACTACTACTACTACTACTACTACTGGTACTACTACTACAGTGCTACTACTACTACTACTACTACTACTACTACTACTACTATACTACTACTACTACTACTAACTACTACTACTACTATTACTACTACACTACTACTACTACTATTACTACTACTACTACTACGACTATACTACTACTACTAGACTACTACTACTACTACTACTACTACTACTATTACTACTACTACTACTACTACTACTACTATAACGACTACGACAACTACTACTACGACTGCTACTACCACTACTAATCCGACGACTACCTTTTCTTCTACGACTACTACGACTACGATTACGACTGCTACTACTACGACTACTACTACTCCTACTACTACTGCTGCTACTACTACTACTACTGCTACCACGACTGCTACTACTACTACTACTACTACTACTACTACTACTAATACCGCTACTACTACGACTACTACTACTACTACTACTACTACGACTACTACTACTAGTACTAGTACGAGTACTAATACTAGTAGTAGTAGTAGTAGTACTACTACTACTTCTGCTGCTGCTGCTACTACTACTACTACTACTACCACGACTACGACTACGACTGCTACTACTACTACTACTTTTACTGATACTTTTACTTATACTTTTTCTTTACTACTACTACTACTACTACTACTACTACTACTACTACTACTACTACTAGTACTACTACTTCTACTACTACTACTACTACTACTACTAGAACTACTACTACTACTACTACTACGACTGCTACGACTACTACGACGACTACGACCATACTACTACTACTACTAGTACTACTACTACTACTACTACTACTACGATCACTATTACTACTACTACTACTACTCCTACTACTACTACTACTGCTGCTACTGATGCTACTACTAATACTGATACCACTACAACTAACATTACTACTACTACTACTACGACTACAACTACTACTACTGCTACTACTACTACTGCTACTGCTACTACTATTACTACTACTACTACCACCACCACTGCTGCTACTACTACAACTACTACTACTGCTACTGCTACTGCTACTGCAACTACTACTACCACAACTACTACTACGACTACTACTACTACTACAGCTACCACTACTACGGCTACTACTACTTCTACGACCACCACTTCAACTACTACTTCTACGACTACGACTACAGTTACTACTACTATTACTACT